AGGAAGTGGGACGGGAGCTGTTGCATTGTGGTAAATTGTAGTCAATGTCATGAGACAAAGTGTATGTGAACTGCTGTATGGAAAGTGAATTTGCTCTGCAAATTTTCACCCCAATCACACACACATAAAAAAAAAAGCATAAAGAAAATAGCTAGAAATATTGTTATAAATTACAAGAAAAAAGAGAACTGACTTTTGGCTGGGTTTAGGGAAAACCTAATCATTTCCAATTTTAAAATCAATGATGTATTTATTTTTAAAACATCAATTATAAAAGCTGATTTTATTTTTCCAGACACAGGAAAGGAAGAAGAGTCTTCTTGTTATTTAGGGCTGTTTTAGAATTATACAAAACCAAGAACTCTACAGTAATTACCATCACCAAGGCCAAACTTAGGTGGACATAGTTCTTATCTAGAAAAAAATTCTGATCATTGAATTTATAGAATTTTTATTTAAAAAGCCATAATTTTTAAAAAGCAGTTTTGAAAAGATTGTTAAGGTTATCATATCTAAGAATAAAATGGATTTTAAGAAGCATAAACATCACGAAAATCAAAATGAAGAAGCAGGACAAAGTTCAATATGCCTTTCACTAATCCTATAACATCCCTGGGTATTTTCAAATTGCTTTATAATTTACATCCCAGTCCCAGAATCAGTACAGAATAGGTCCTGGAGTCATACGTCCTGGTTTCAATCCTTGCTCACTGCTAGAGAAATTACTCAAGTGACTTCTTTAAGCCTAAATCTCCTTATCTGTATAATGGGAGAAAAAAGTATCTTCCTCATAGGTATGAAAATTAAATAAAAGATTCCATGTAAAATGCTCAAAACATTATTTGACACACAGTAAGAAAGAACTCATAGATGTCATTATTTCTTAATCTCAAAGACTTTCAAAATGTTTAAACTATGTTCTGAGTAGGATTTGCTAGTGAGGAATATTCTGATATTCATATAGTTTTACAAATTTCCCCTCCCTTTCCTCGATATAGGGAAGTAAATAAATTTGATACTTTAAATTCTCTTTCAATGATTTAAACTTCACTATAATTCTT